CTGAACAATTACGTCACGGACTGAGGGACAAGGCTGGCGACGTGTACCGAGAGCTGCTAGCGAAGCACATCCCGGACACCAAAGAAGAATGGGAGTTCTACCATGTCATTGAACTGGGTCGTGCTGTGGTCAAGCTATGCGAGCGGATACAGAAGCGCTACCGCAAAAACCCAGAGGTTATGGGTGCTAGTCCCATGAATTGCCTCGTTGAGAAGATGTTTCCCTCTTACGCCGCAGATGCGCGGGACCTTGTCGCTCGGATCATGGACGTTGCTCAAAGCAAGGGAGAGGATGTACCCGTTCAGGACGGCTTCGACTTGTACAAAGAGCTTGTTGAGATTCGCCGCATACACAGCGATGCTCTACCAGGCAAAAACTTTGCTTTCAGTATCGAAGACCAGCTACAGGACTTTGTGTGGAGATGGATTCAGATGACGGATCAAAACCTTATTGGGTGGGTTGACAACGCTTTCAAGGCAGACCAATTCCAGATCGAGTCGCAGAACCCCATTCCTTCAGACGAGGAGCGCCACAGCGTCTCGGTCGTGGATGTCTTCCGGTCCTTCAATCAGAGTATCGAGCAGATTGTCTCACTAAACTGGGATAACGATGTCCAATACGCCAAATTCATGACTGCTGTATCGAAATCGATCGGTGTCGCACTCGCGAGATACTGCGAACTCGTTGAGCAGAAGTTTGCCAAAGAGATGGATCGCTTGACGCCCGAGCAAGAGGCTGCCGCTCATCAGACCAAATCAGAGAAGTGGCTGTCGACGGTCAAGGATTTCTACAGCCAGAAAGAGAAAGTCGAGCCTTTTCAATTCTACCCAGAGGTAAGTATCCTACTCAATGATATGTTCAATGCTTACCAATACAGTCGCTTGTCAAACTCAACAACATTGAGTATGCGATGCAGCAACTAGATAAGCTCGAGCGCGAGATCGGCGTGGATGCATGCGCCGAAGTCATCCAAAAGCATTCCCCACCCCCGACACAACGCCTTCGGAACAACAACTTCGTCTTCACCATCAAAATCATCGAGGCTGAAGATCTAAAAGCCTGCGACATGAATGGACTAAGTGACCCATACGTTGTGCTTGGTGATGAGTATCAGAAGCGTCTGGCAAAGACTCGGGTCATCTACCGCAACCTCAACCCTCGTTGGGACGAGACAATTGACATCACGACTAATGGCCCGCTGAACGTCGTTGCAACAATCTGGGACTGGGACGCTATGGGCGACCATGACTGCGTCGGGCGGACGTCTCTCAAGCTCGATCCATCACACTTCCGGGACTATATGCCCCGAGAATACTGGCTTGACTTGGATACGCAGGGTCGCCTGTTGCTGCGTGTGAGCATGGAAGGCGAGCGAGACGACATCCAGTTCTACTTCGGCAAGTCATTCAGAACACTTAAGAGGACTGAGCGTGACATGACACGGAAGATCACGGACAAGGTAGGCATATTGCCATTAAAATGCACAATTTGCGCTAACAATGGCAGCTTTCATCGTTTATCGGCTACAAGCTTTCGCGTCGCTCACTTGATGCCTTGCTCAATAAGGGCGTAGCATCGAAGGTCACCAACTACTTAGGAAACTTCAGACAAGCCAGACCCATGTCTGTCATTCAAGGCCCTACACAACAAGACGTCACGCAAGCTCTCGGTCCTCTGTTCGTCTACTTTGACGAAAACTTCGCGATTATGAAGCAGACGCTCACAGACGCTGCAATGATCATGGTCATGACAAGACTCTGGAAAGAGGCGCTCGCGACCATAGAGTCGCTACTTGTACCTCCTCTATCCGACAAACTCTCACAGCAGCGTCCGCTGACGCAACAAGAGCTTGACATTGTGTTCAAGTGGCTGAAGATGCTTTTCGACTTCTTCCATGCTGTAGATGAGGATGGAAATGTTGAGGGTGTACCCATGGATGTGCTCAAGTCACCCAAGTATCATGAGCTTCAGAACCTCAACTTCTTCTACTTCGAAGCTACCGAAGATTTGATCCGTACGTCTGAGTCAATGGCTGCAGCTAGTGCGAGACGACAGCAAGAACAATCCCAACGCCTAAACCGCATGTCGGCGCCGCCTGCTATGGGCCACCAGTTCGGTGGTGCCGCGGGACTTGTTGGTATGCCGACTAGGAAACACAAGACCATCATGCTGTCGCGCAATCTTGGCACAATGAAGAAAGCCAAGGAAGAAAAGAGAAAGGAAGCACAGGCGGAGCCTAATGATGACATGATCTTGAGGATATTGAGAATGAGGCCCGAGGCGGAGCGGTACTTGAAGGACAGAAGCAGACAGAAGGTACCCATCGCTATTCCTTCTCCATATTCACGCTTACTGACGAACAACAGGAACGTCTTGCCGCTGCACAGGCGGCAGAGATGATCGTACGACAGAGTCTCAACTCGGGCGGTGGTCGCATGACGGGAGGCATGGGCGGCCCACGTCGATAAGAGAAAGCCACCCGTGGACTTTTTTTGTCACATGTCACATGTCACTGTTTTGGCGTTTGTTTCCTTTCTGATACCTCTGCATCATTGTGTGTCGTTTGGGCGTTGAGTATACTTAGCTAATGTATTATCGGTGGCATCCGCTTCATGGTATTTGGGATGGACAGCGAGGCGTCTATATGGGGGCTTTCGCAGGTACGAGATGATATGAAGTAGGATAGCTAGCTAGATGATATCCATGGTGTTCAATGTAGGCAGGTGTGTTGTGCGTTATTAGAAGTGTCGTAGGGCCGTCACATCATGTCTCACATGAACGTACGTTAGGAAGTGCTGCTCGATGTCAGTCCTCAGGGTTACAAACGCGTAAGCCTCACCTCGTTTTGTCAACTATCAGATATCGTCGTCTTGTCTTCTCGTATAAATTCACGCTAACCCAAAGGAAAAACCGAACACCCTGGAGCCTACGTTAACGTCAATTCATCTACTTTGCAAGTTATTGTTTTGATGTAGTCTGCAGACCTGTTCAGCGTTCTTGTATGAGGTAAATCCATATAAATTCGCGGTCTAGCCGCCAATATCCTCTTTACACAAAACTGTCGGTGCGCGTTTCCATGTCTGGTCCTCGAAACTGCGCGTGTTCACCTTCACTTCACCGTTTGCTTCCAGGTAACCGCGCTTTGACAATTTTTGAACATCCATAACGGCCATTGCGACTCTGCGTCTTCTCTCCCGTAGCTCCAACATCGGAGCACACCGCGACTCAAGACATCGTCAACACTAGGAACCAGGATGCCGGAGGCTTTCGTACCTTGCAGCGACCTCCCCGGAGATCTTAGCAAATGGCTTGGTCCCGAGCAGGTATCGCTGGAAGTAGGCTATGGTAGCGACAGCGAAATGTTCGACGCGCCGTTGAGACAACTGCGCAATACGTCTGACTACTTATTCGTTCAGTGAGTCCACATCATCTGTTCTCCAATCACTTCATTTTGGAGACATCCAGCACAATATCACACAAGTGTCACCAAGCGAACTCGTACTGACATAATCTAGACTGGACGACTTATCCGAGTACTTCAGCTTGCCCGATGTATCACCACGCAATTTTCGCATCTACCTCGACTTCCTCAAGACCGGTTACCTTCATCAGCCCGATTCGGACGAGACCACGGATCAGAGAATCTCTTTCGGCAGACTCATCCATGTCTTCATGTTCGCCAACGAATTAGGGATCATTCTGCTCCGAAATGCGGTTCTAGACGAATTCTTCCTGCGCATCTACGACGACCCCGACGATCTTCCGTACAAGTGTATTTTCAATATATACAAAGCTTCCACCCCAGCCTCTTCACTACGTCACCTCGCTGTCGATGTCATAGTGAAGATTGGAAAGAAGGCGGATGTCAGAGAATGGATGCACGACCTGCCGAAACAGTTCTTGATGGACTGCTTGACTTCCGCAAGCGAAGACAGGATCGTACCCTTTCCCAAAAATCTTTCCAATGATGGCATCATGGACCGGCTGGAGGATATGAGGAAGGCGATGTGTGAAGTGTTCCATGTTCACGATTCTGAGCCAGATGATCAAGAATTGGGGTCGCAAGCTGGAACTTCCGTTCGTACAGAGGACAGCCGCCGACCCGGAAGAGGAGCGGAGAGAAAAGGAAAAGAGGCTAAAGAGGACACAGAAGATGAGGCTCAAGCTCAGAATGTGGACTCAGAGTTGCACGAGACGTTTGATGAGGAGTCCGCTGCGAGGATGGAGTATGTCATGGGGCCGTTGCCTATCAGAGAGAGGCATTAGATGTCCCTCTGTTGCCCACAAATCCTCTAGATACCCCTACATTGTACTTTTAGGCATATGAAAGAGATCGGACACATCCTTGATGACCGTCGTTCTGGCAACGAGTCATCTCTTTGTCGATGATTAGGTAGCACTCCTACCTCATGCGTCAGGCGATACTTGTCGTTTTGACAATTATACAAACGTTCTTATCAACCGCGATCTTTTTAAGCCACCGAATTGCATTATCGTGGCGACCGAGTAAGACAATAGATTCCAAACGCTGAACCAGGCACCAGTGCGAGAGACTAAGGCAAACGCTCTTGCAGAGCGCGTGCCACGCTGGGTATTCGCCCAATGACGTGTCTCCACCGTGCGCACAGGTAAGTGAGGGGTAACCGCAGTCCGGATCTTAGGGTGAAGGACGGGACTCACTTATCATAGAGACTGGAGGGTATAAAGAAGCGAAATTTTCTCTCCACTCTTATTCTCCAGTCTCACCACCAACAATCTTGGAAAGAGCCGGTTCAGGCTACGGACATATTCAACTTACCATCACATACATCCTACCCAAGTCACCGACAATTCTCGTACTAAGATGAGGTCTTTCTTCGCTATCCTCCTTGCCGCTTTGGGCCTCTTTACTTGCACTGTGCGTAACTTCCCACCGCTTTCAGTAATTTCCTGCACTCAACATCGACTAATTTGGCGAATAGATCAACGCCACGGCAGTGCCCCAAGCCCAAGATCTCTCCATGGGCAGCGTTCAGATATCCGGCGACAACATAGTTCTCGTAGAGCTAGAGGTAACCGACGACCGGTTCCCCGACGTCACCTTCACGGGCACCGCGGAATCTGTCTACGAGGAGATGAAGGCGCTCAAGCCCGAGGCCTTCCCCGACACGAAGGATTTAGATGTCGCCCAAGCGCGCTCCTTGCACAAGCGATCAACCGTAAGTCTCCAAGCTCATGCCATCCTCGGAACTTTAGTCATGCATGCTCACACCATTGTCAATAGCTCAACTGTGAATGGGGCAGAGATGTCTTTGGCCACAAGTCTTGCAACGACGGCTGGAATCGCCTGAACGGACTTCACCACACCTGGTACTGTGTCAATGGCGGAGTCAACCACTGCGCCATCGTTAGCTGCTCATACAACTGCGCTGTCTACTTGTGCAACTTGGTATGTCTTATTTACCCCAATACACTTGAGAATGAAGAGCTGATCTGATGACTATTGTAGCGCAACACTAGATTCTGTGCTTTGGGCAGCGATATTGGCGTCGACATGGACTATATTCGGAATACCTGTGACAGCGATTCCACCAAAGTTCCTGCTGGGCGAAGGGATTTCGACGAGCACTGGATCGGCCTCAGTATGGTCAATAATTGTTAAAGGATGACGGTCAGGCGCTACTTCGAAGATAGAACCGTTATTAAGGGCCTTGTAGTTCTGCATTCCTTGGTCTGGGTACCTCAAAGCATGGAGGATATTCTTTCTCCCAAGCCCAGCATGTCTTTGCCACTTATTCATCCAGCCCAAGATATAGTATTAGCAATTCTGGGTTCAACATGACCTTCTCCAACTTTTCTATCATCTCCGCCTTACTGCCACCTTCCCCCAGTATCTTTCTGATGGCCGAAGAACTAACCTCTTCTCTCTTCTCATGGCCCTCAGTATCTCTTCCACTACCCAAAAACATCACTGTACCCCCACTCTTCTTGTGGCAAACCCACGTCGGCCCCACTCCCTCATGGCATCTTACCAGAATCTCGTGCAGCAAACTGTCTTGCCTTGATCGGACATGCGGTTCGCCTTCCAAAGCAGCATGCCCACCGCAGTACTCTTGAATCCGTAGAGAGATGCGACATTCATGATTCGCGCCTCCACATTCACAGCTGAAGTCTCCCTTCCTACTGGTTGGTGTAGAGATCAAGCGCCAAGATCTACATCCAGGTAGCCGTCTGGGCGGATGCATTGGACCCTTGAACAGACTAGACGGCCGTGTAATGTCGCTGGTGATTATTTCTCCCCATCCTATGAGCCAAGAGGGCTTTGTTTCGACTTTTTCGCGTTCGAATTTATCGCTTCCAGCTAGGACTACAAAGGAAACTTGGAATCCGTCTTTCTTCGCTTCTTTGATCAGAGTAGCCCCGTATTTTTCGAAATCTGTGCGATGGCCTCTGTGAAACCAAGTCCAGCGCTGCAGTAGGTCGTTTTGTAGTAGCGCGATTCTTTGTTCTTTTTCAGTGGCGAAGACCTTTCCGTTGACCATAGCGCCGTCTTTCGCTTTGAGTTTATCGCGAAATGGAAGGAAGACGACGGCGATGGTGGTGGAGGAGCTGCGTAGGAATGTGTGGAAGGCCAGTTCGATGTGACCAAGATGCGGTGGGTTGAAGGAGCCTGTGTACATTATGATCTTGTTCTCGCGATTGCGGTGGAGTACTGGCGCGTGCTCTGGTGAGGTGAAGTACGAGTCGGAAGGGGTTGGGAGCGATATGGACTTTGAGGCTAGGCGAATGTAGTGTTCCAATGGAGCGGTTGCTGATTCTGAGTACGGGCTGTGTACGTCGGTGGAATCACGCTGTGATGTATCTACAATCGACCCATAAAGTGACGGGTCTCGTGACTCGCAACTAGGCTCGCGTTGTCTTTTGCGCGAGATCTGCGGTAGAGGGCGAAGTGACTGAGTAGCGTCAGAAGGATCTGGCGATACGTCTTTCGCCGGCAGCTTCTCATCATGTCCGGGTACTGGTGTCTCATCTTTTCCTGCAGGATTTTCGTGGATGATAACATGCGGAAGCGCAACATTCGCTTCGCGCCTTTGGCACTCCTTCCTCTTCTGGCTCACCTTGTCTTCTTCACATTGACGCATGGCGGTTATGATGAAAATCGGTGGGAGTGGAGGGTGCGGACGCGTCCCTTGCAAGATCAGCCGTTTGTATGACAACGAAAGTCCAACCGCGGTGAGCGGCCGATTGCTCGTTCCGGAGTCTGCGCACCACACGACCACTGGGCAATTTTGATAGGAAATCTTTCAAAAAGCCAGTGGGAAGTCTTTCAAGCGAGCGCGATATGCTATTAACGAAAAAATCGTTCTTTTATAGACGTCAACATAGTACAACGAATGTCGGGTTACTTGCAGGGATAAGTTCGGCCCACGTTTGTACGTTACCCTCCCACGGTTCAGTTTGATTGACCCGGATCACTCATAGGTCACGACTGGACCACCAGGCAACTCATCGAGCCATCCTTCAACCGGCTCCTTCACAGCCTGTGGTACCCCACACTTGGTCGACACATCGGCAGCCTGTGTCGTCAACCCCGTGCATGTGTTCCCGAAGCAGCGTTGGTCCATCGCTTTCTGCAGCGCACCCTCTTTCCAGCCGAAGACATAATCGCCGTGTTGACCGTAGCCAGTCCTACACATAATTAGTGCTGTTCACTTACAGGCGCTACAGGTCACTCACGCATCGCCCATGCTGTAAACAAACGGCTGCGACCCGTCTTCAGGCCAGAGAGCCGCGTCATTGAAAGGCGTAGTATCCCACATGACCTCGTACATGAGCTGAGGCATCTTCACTGGATGAGTCGATGGGCAGGGACCGCCAGATTCGAAGGATCCAGTTGTAGGGTACGCGACATGGTCTTTGTGGTTCGGAGAATCGACGTTCTTGCCATCCCAGCATCTATATTCAAGGTTAGCGATACGCGCAAAGCCAGGTAAATGGAGTCCACAAACGTTGGGAATGTAATAGTCGTCCGGATTCCACCTCCACACATGCCCGGTGGCAAGCTCGCTGTGTCAAATTCTCCTATACATGGGGCCCCACCAAAAGGATCTTGCTGTTTGTTCGTGAAACAGCGATGGCAGAGCTGTTTCTGCTGACCTTCCTTAGCTCTCAAGCCTGGATCACCAACCAGCATCCTGAAACCCTTGGGAAACGCGGTCACCGTACTCTTCCCGTCGTATGGCGGGATGTAGTACACCGTAACGCCTTCTCTGCCTTGTAGACCCAAGTTGACCATCTGTGGGACGCGTTGGAAGGTGCCGTTACGCGCTTTGAAGTAGAGATTCGCGGTCCAGTAGTTTGAGAGGTCTTCGGCAAAATCGCAGGTTGTGCAAGTGGCTTCCGTGCTGGGGTCGAGGTCGAGCGGTGGCATGGAGACATTGAAGGCGTTTCCGCCGACGATCTGGTCTAAACAACGACATGCAAATTTAGTATACGTACTGTATCAAGGTAGTATATGGGCATCGCTTACGCATGTGTGCTGAAGGTGCAATGCCGGGTTGGACAAGTGGGTCGATACGGTCGTAGACTAGTTGAGAGCACTGGAAACGTAGCATCGCCGCTGTTGCAAACTGTCGGGCCTTGAGGTCGTGAGTCGGCGATGCTGCGACATTGTGGAACAAAGAGGTGAGCGTGAATGTGAGCGAGGACCAGTACATGCTGACGATCAAGTGGTCTGACAACGAGAAAATGGAATGTAGATGTTGGGAATCAGGGAACGTGCTGTTGTGGCACATGAGTCTCATAATATATCATGAATGACGTTCGAAGCAAGTCTCCACATGGAACTCACCCCACATCATGTTCACGGTTCGCCATGTCGGGTAGTTTCATCGAAGGATCCTTTCCTATAGAAGGTTCTAAAGTCAACTGCCGTATATGCTCCTGTTGATTGCTTGTATAAATATGTGGGTTGACCAATCGGATCCTAGCAAGTATCCTGGGCGGTTACCGACAAAGTGAGCATGCAACAAGGGTGGATCAGTCGGTGGCCAGTAGAAACTTGAGTTCCCTCATGGCCTGGGCATGGATTGCGGAATGCATGGGGCCCACGAGGTTGTGCTCCTGGATTGTTGGGATGACGTAGTGGCGAGCGGTGCCCCTGGGTGGGTGTCGCAGGATGCCGGTCTTGAAGAGGATGCCGAGACGCATTGTCCCGCACGCAACGCAGAGTGCTGTATTGACGGAGTGGTTCCAGGTTCTCGAATCAGCGTCCAATTGAACCAAAACGGGATGAATGCATTAGTATTTGAGACTGGATTGGCGATGGAGATCAAAATCAAAGTAGCCTAGGATGATAACTGGGTATTGAATTGACAAAGAGAATCCCATTGGGTTGTACATGTCAGTTGAGTTTGCATACAATTTACCAGCCCTCACCGGGCTTCCTTGCCTATAAACTGTTAGCAATAGTCCACACCGAACCATAATGCACTTACCAGCAATGCACCCTTTCCACCCAGCTCAGCCTCCAGACCATCTGGGTAAGTCTTGGGCGCACTAAGCTTGTCGGGGTAGAAGGTACCAACAGCCGCGCAGAGTCCGAAGACAGAGGCGACGAAGGTGCCCAGTAGGACGAAGCCCCATTGGGGGGTGAAGTGGTTGTAGTCGTGGAGCGCTAGTACACCCATGATATCGTTGTCCTCGTGGCAGGGCTCGCCATAGTTGCGGCGCTCCTGCTTGTCCCAGTAGTCGCCGTACGGGTCGCGGTTTCCTCGCTTCTCAGCGGGAGGGTTGATGTAGCCGCCGTTCTGTCACCATCAGCACTAGGCCCTTCCTGCCTCCTCTAGAAAAAGTGGGCGTACTTGGTTCGGGTCTGTGAGCTCAGCGTGGGCCTTCTCAGCGTCGGTGAGGGCGGTTCGGATTTGGGTGAATTGGGGTCGTGGCCGGGCTACGGCGGGGACGACGGCTCGAGCCAGCGGGCGTGCCGCTACAATGCGCCTGGGGAACATGCTAGAGCCGAGTGAGTATTTGCGCGATGCGTATCTACGGTGTCTTCGTACGTTGCGGCGCAATTGCGGGGGTTGGATGGGTTGCAGTATTGATGTGTCGTTCGCGATGAGCTCAGTTGCGGCCCCGGTAATGCTTGGCGGAGAAGTGGGTCTAACTGCTCTGCGTAGTACCACGACCGGTCATGGATGTGACACGAAAGGCGTCTACGCGACTGAACAACCCGACGCCTGCCTGAAAGAATCTGCAGAGGTTTTAGACAGCCTCAGTCACAGCATTCTCTGACGTGATACCCACCATTCCGCCATCGTTCACGTCAAAGGGATGGCATGCGCGCCCGTGCCGGTATTTAGCGTGATCCCTACCAAACATTATCGCCGGCTCTGTTTTTACCATCTCACAACTTCGACATAACACCGCATCATCCCAACGCGAGCCCGAATTTGAAATCCGACCCCGTCACCGTCACCAGCACGCGTCAGGCTATCT